CCCTCCCAGGACTGTCTGTCCCACAGTGGGGGTCTGAACACCCAGGTGTGACCTGGCAGTCTGGATTCCAGTGTCACACTGTGACCCCAGGCAAGTGACCTAACTTCCTTAGGTCTGTTTTCTCATCTCCATCCTCCCAGCTCCCATCTCTGGATTTCCTGCTGAAAGAGTGACAGTGAAAGTGTGACTCGCTCAGTCGTGTCCAACTCTTTGCAACCCCATGGACTGTAGCCCACCAGGCTCCTCTGTCCATGGAAATCTCCAGGCCAGAATACTGAGTGGGTAGCCATTCCCTTCTCCAGGGAATCTTCCCAACCTAGGGATTGAACCTGGGTCTCCTGTGTTGCAAGCAAATTTTTTACTCTCTGAGCTACCAGGGAGGCCCTGAAAATGCTGGATTTCCTGGTAGAGCATGGAATTTCATCCTTCTTCCAGCCCTTAAGACGATGATGACAGCTGCCATCTGGGTTGTATAAATCCTGCATTAAGTATTCTGAATTCTGACTTGGCATCTTGGAGGCTGGCTGACCCTGGTGAGACTAGCCCACCAGAGTTAATAATGCATTGCCGAGAAGAGTAAGGACTCGGGTCGAGCACACCTTTCACAAGCAAGCCAGCCGATCCAGAGTTTTCCACCCCCACCCCCCAATCCCCAGCCATGTCCTCTCCGAGGTTCTTATATGCTGTCCTGGTCACCCCAGGGCCCGGGGACAGACATTGAGGATCAGCCCTCTTCCCCAGAGCCCACCCGTTTATTCACTAGCTCATCCTCCACCTCCTTGCCTTCCTCCTCAGGACAGTCATTTCCAAGTCTGCGAGTCTTATCACACTTGATTAAAACAAACCGCCATTTAAGTACAATGCAAGGGCTTTACGTGTCTTCCCCAGCTTGATTTTTCTAAGAACTCTGTGAGGAGCCCTGAACATTCCACCTTTATGCGTGAGGATGCTGGGACTCAGAGAAGTGATGGTTTTCCCTCCAGGGCAGATAGCCCGGAGGCGGAGGTGGGGTCCAGCTTGGCTTTCTAAGGGTGCCTAGAGGCATCGAGTGTGAATTGCTGACCACAGCGCCCGGCGCAGAGCTGCAGGAACCGGCGTCTGGGGGAACACAGCCTCTGCGGTGTGTGGCGTCGCTCAGCCCTGCCCTTGTCCCAGGCTCCCGTCTTCAGCCTCCCCTGCCTGCTCCTGCTGCACTCAGAATTCCCTTCTTGCGTCGCCGGCTCGTGACCTCCACGTGTGCATGGCAGTAGCATGCGGGTACCCAAGCCACCTGCAGCCTCCATGGGGCTCGAGGCTGGCTCCGTGTTCCAGAGTTACTCTAGACCGTGTGCCATCCCAAGAAGTCTGCTCACGTGACTCTCCCAGACATCGGCAAGTGTTTAAACACAGAACTGTCAAAGACGCACTAAAAATGCAATCAGAGATTGTTAACGCTGTCTCTTTATTCTAGTCCCCTCTGCTGTTTTCTGCGAGCCGGGGATGGGCGGGCAGGGGAGCCGTAAGGGGGTATTTGTCTGATTGCCGCTGCATTCAGAGACACTAAAACCCTGCCAGGCTCCATACGCTGCTCCGAGAACAGCGTAGATTATGGAGAAGCTTGCACGTATCTTGTTGAATTTAACAGATTATGCAGTTGGAAGGCAGCATTTTCTGTTAAATGGGATGGGGAAGTGTTAGTGAGAAAGAATTGTAACCTTTTGGAGGAAGATTAATCTTGGAAGTGCAAGTAGTGGATTTTGTTCGCATCCCTCTCTGCCCTGAACCCTGCACGCACTCACTGCTGTGTGCACTGCACGTGTGGGTGCGTGTCTACTTAGACATAGATGACCAGTGAAAAGTTAGAACCATGTGGTCATCTTCCAGTGCTCTGCTGATGTATACCTGATGGGTCTTTTTTTCACCACCCACAAAGCCATGATCAGCAAATGCCAAGATCTCAAGTGAGCTGGCTGACAAGAAAGGAAGCATTTTGGAAAGATGGGTTGAACGTTACCACGTAGAATACAAATGCATAACAATGCCCACCAGCTCTGAAAAGCCGGGAGGAGGGCTGGTTTCCATAAGGACTTGCTGCTTCTCCCAGACCTGAGGCTGGGTGACCACCCCCTGGCCCACCCAGCGAGGCGCACCTGGCCCAGGAGCGGAGCCGACCCTCAGGTCCCCAAGCCGCTCTTCCTGAACGTCCTGCCTTTCGAGGCCCCACCTCAGCCTGCGTGTCCTCCTAGAGGCTGTTCTGTGTGCCCGAAAAACAAGCCACGCCAGGACAGTTGGAGGAAAAATTTGGAGGAAGGGCGGGATCCAGGTAGAGATCAGTTGGTATAAAGGAGACAGAGCTATCTCACAATGGGTGGACTGATTTATAAATGCCTCCATCTGTCCGTAATCCATTCATCTTTGCCCACCGTCCACTCACTCACCCACCCATCCATCATCCATCCTCCCAGTGATCTGTCTCCCCGCTGAGAAGCAGTGTAGCGTGGTGGTGCCGATTCAGGGTTATCTGATGAGGCCAAGCTACAAAGACTAAATGTCCAGTAACCTCTGTGCTTGTGTATCACTTAATTACTGATTTGGGTAACCTTTCTGAGCCTCTGTTTTCCCAGTTCTAAGATGGGGGTAGTAGCTTAAGTGTCTTTGAAGGTTAAATAGCCGGTGAGTTGCCAAGTCCAAGTGGCCACATCTGGACAGATGTGCTTGGGGCTGGACCTCCAGCTCAGGAGGACTTGCTGCTGGGAGGTCCCTGTGTTCACACACGGACGAGGCCCCTGCCTTCAGGCTGCGCGGCACCCACTGTTTGGAGCGACCGGAAGGTATTTGAGGGTGTCCATGACGGCTTCTTGGGGCTCCTGCCCCCGCCTGGCTTTGTGTACAGGAGCGCGTCCTCCCCTGGGAGGGAAGAAGCCTCAGTCACCTCCTCTGATCCGAGGAGGGAGGAGCTGGAGAGAGCCGACCGTCTCCTGCCCACTCCCCAGTCCCTGGTAGTCAGGAGCTGCGGAAATAAATGAAACTGTACGGTTGGAGTAATTTGCTAATTTGTTTTAGTAACACCCCCAGTCAGAGACATGACATAAATTAGTGCAGGGAGGCACTTGGGGTGGGACGGATGGGTGATGTGAAGTGGAAACGCAGAGAACCAGCGCCGGAAGGCAGGCGTGATGGCCGCCGCACCAGCCGTGACTCCAGCGTGGTGAGGACCTAGCCTGATGGCCTTGAAAGACTCTGAGCTGCTGACCCAGAGGTGTGGGGTCAGCTGGACCAGCTCCTAGCATCACTTACCCTGCTCACCTGCTGTGGGACCTCAGGCCCCTGACGTGGGAACCTGGTTCCCCAGTTACGAGGCCAGAGGTCACTGGGCCCGCCTTGGAACCACCCAGACTGTTACCAAGGGCAGCTGGCCCGACAGCGAGGTCCAGGAAATGGCAGGTTTCTCTCTGTGATGCCCTCAGGCCCTCTCCCCTCCCCACCGGCAGCCCGAGCATCACTGGAGGTGGGGGGGATCTCTGCACCCTGTCACCTGGAGTCCTAGTGGGGAGTTTGCTTTCCAGATTTCTGCTGGGACCTGCTTGGACTGGAGATGGGTGAAGCCCACATATCTCCTGTCTGCCCCCGAAGCTCTCCTGTGAGGGGAACAAGCAGACTGCTCAGCACCCCTGGGCCAGGCCAGGATGACAGATAGGAGGGTGTGTGAGGCGGGAGGCAGGGGGGCCTTGCAGAGCTCAGCGCCGTGGTCTGGTTGGCAACACCGAGGGGCAGGGGCCACGTCTGTTCCCTTCGTGTCTCCAGGGACTGTGGCCCGGGCCATAAACCGCAGTGCCTTAAAGTGAGTGAAGCGGGCTGGGGTGTCAGTGGTAGAGACAGGCTGGGACTGCGCCAGACTGACCTCTGCTTCTAGCCTGAAGGAGGCACAGGTGCCTAGCACTTGCCTGGGCCAAGATTGTGAGATTTAAGATGGATTGATTTCCAGAAAACAGAAAGAATGACGTTTTACTGGGAGTTTCTCTAATTTTTAACGTTGGCAACACATTGAAATTTTAAAAAGACGAGAAAGTTTTTTTTTTTTTTTGCCAAACAATATGTCATTGGGCAGGGCTGGCCTGCAGGCTTCTAGCTGGCAAACTCTGGCCCAGGGAAGCTGACTCCTTTTTGAACCTCAAAAGCCTTTTGCGTTTCCATTCATTGGCTTGCCTGATCCCAGAACAGTCTTGCGAGGTAGACATTTTTCTTCCCATGTTACCGGTGAGGAAGCAGAGTGCCGGTAAACAGAGGTGCTTAAGTCATATGGCTCGTTGGTGTCTGAGCCCCAGCTGTCAACCCTTGAGCCACCTGTCACTGGACGACCTCCCTGGGTTGACGAACAGCAGAGAGGAGGGAATGCTATTTTTCTCCAACCTGTAAAGAGGTCTGGGACTTCCCTGGCCATCCAGTGGCTAAGACTCTGCCTTCCAGTTCAGGGGGCGTGGGTTCAGTCCCTGGTCTGGGAACCAAGATCCCACATGCTGTGCAGGGCGGGGGGCGGGGTGACTGGTGAGGCAGTGATGAACAGACCAAGCGTCAGGAGAACCACTCACTCTGCAGCCCCCAGGTGAAGGGGCCTGAGATGGGGAGGCGGGGAGGCAGGGCTGGGGACCCGGGGGCAGGGATTTCCTTCCCTGGTGGAATTGCTGTGGACAGAAGAACCAGAGGCGGGGAAGTCCTGAGAATGAGGCAGGGCCCCTGCAGCTCAGAGGCCCAGCAGGAAGCTGCCCAGCCCCCTCCCGCTGGTGTCCAGGGGGGCTTCAGTGGGCCACCCAGCAGAAACGGGGGCAGGGAGACCTCAAGGTTGGTGATCAGAGGGCACCTGTCTGGAGGGAGGGTCACCTCTGCCAGGGCTCCTGGGGGCTCTTGCCTGCCCCCTTCCCCCAACTGCCCTGTCGCCTCCGAAAGCCAACAGCGGTGCCCTGTGTGTGTGTGTGTGTGTGTGTGTGTCTGTCTGTCTGTCTGTGTCTGGGTCGGCCCTGCAGGCAGCCTACCCTACGAGTACAAGATTGTGATCGCCGGCAACCACGAGCTGACCTTCGACCAGGAGTTCATGGCCGACCTCATCAAGCAGGACTTCTACTACTTCCCATCCGTGTCGAAGCTGAAGCCCGAGAACTACGAGAATGTGCAGTCACTGCTGACCAACTGCATCTACCTGCAGGACTCGGAGGTCACCGTGCGGGGCTTCCGGATCTACGGCTCCCCGTGGTGAGTGTGCCGGACGCCGTCCTGACCGCTGGCGATGGTGAAGCTATGCGAGGGTTGGGGGGGGATGGTGGAGCTGAAGCTGAGTGCTCAGAGGGAGGTGGGCCTGGGAGAAACCACGGAGAGACTTGAGGCCAGCTGTCCCCTCATGCCACGTGACCCTGGGCAGGTCACTGCCACTCTCTGAGCCTTGGTTTCCCCATATCTGACAGATAATTAAATATGCTATCCTGGCTCACATTTAGACAGTACTATTATCCTCATTTTCCAGGTGAGGAAACTGAGGCACAGAGAGGGTGAGGGTCTTGCTGAAGGTCACACAGCTAGGAATGGGCAGAGCTGAGATTAAACCCAGGCAGGTGGTTCCAGAATCCCTGCTTTTAACCGTCATCCTATACGCCAGGAATCTCCCTATTGTCTGTCCCTCTGACACACGGAAGATGCTTGGGTGGGAGTGATGACTGGTTAGCCAGACTGAGAAGACGCAGTCGGACTTTCCATGGAGGGCCAAACACCTGGTTTACTGTACTGGGGACAACAGTTGTTTAGATCACAAGCATGCATCGAGACTTTGTTCCCTGTTGGAGACACAGAGCGATCAGGCCTTATCCCTAGGCTCACCCGACTCAGTGGGCATCAGGGTGAGAAGAGGTCATGACTGGTCTCCGTGATGGTCAGTGTGTCCATAGTAACCTGAGTGGTAGCGATGGTGGCCATGATGGTGATGGTGATGGTGGTGATGACGGTAATGATGGTGATGGTGATGATGGCGATGGTGAAGGTGATGATGGTGGTGGTGATGGTGAAAGTGATGATGGTAATGATGGTGATAGTGCTGATGGTGGTGGTGAAGGTGATGGTGGTGATGATGGTAATGGTGAAGGTGATGATGGTGGTGATGACTGTATAATGAAGGTGATGATGATGGTGGTGGTGATGGTGAAGGTGATGATGGTGATGATGGTGAAGGTGATGGTGATGATGATTGTGGTGATGATGATGGTGTTAAGATTACGATGATGAGGATGACAATAAATCATGCCTGACTGATTACAGTAAGCTGGGTCCTGGGCTCAAGTCTTTGTAAGAACTGTTTCTAACTTGACCCCTGTGAGGACTCCTTTATTGTCCCTGGTCTACAGGTGGATAGACTGACTGGCCCTTAGAGGCCCAGCTGGCAGTGGCCACAAGATGCCAAGTACTGGCAGGCAGAGGAGGATACACAGGAAGGAGAGACCTCAGGGGCTTGAAAGAGTGGCTTGATCTTGGAGGGATCCCTGGAGGGGGTGGGGTGACCAGAGCCCCACGGGAGGAGAGGGGCATTCCCAGGCGTGGAGGGGGACAGGGCCCGAGGCTGTGCCATCAGCCAGAGCAGCGCACTTAGGGAGCTGATGGGACAATCCGGGGGGCATGGGGTCTGTCCGGGTGCAGAGACTTCAGGGAAAACAGCTGCCAGCTCAGAGTAGCCAGGAAGCCTGGGCTGCCCTGGCTGATGCGGCAGGTGACCCCCTGCTGCCTGGATGCTGCGGGTGGGTTTAGGACATGGCCCCACCCTGCCAAGGCTCCCCTGTGGGGCAGGGGTGAGATGCCAGGCTGTCCTTGAGCCCCTGGAGGTGTCTGCAGTCACCTCCCCTGTCCTCATCACGTACGGGGTCTCCACAAACCCTCCTGGGAGCCCGTGGGGTCCCAGACAAGGTCTGATGTGGCACTCAGAGGTGTGATGAGCTCAGGACCAAGGCCGAGAGAGGAGGTGGCTGAGTCAGGCTGTGAGAGCTCAGACCAGGAGGGGAAGTGTGTTTAAGCAGAAGGAGGTGGCTGTCGCAGGAGGAACCAGAGTGAGCAGAGGCCTGGAGGGGAGGGGGGACCGGAGCGTGAGGTGCAGGTGGGGAGGCGGAGAGATGAGGGTCAAGGGTCCGGAGGGTCAGGGGTCAGACCGGGGACTCTGGACTGGATCTCTTTGCTCAGTGGTTTCCCACAGCCTGTCTCCCCTGCACACCCACACACCCATACACAGACAGACACATTTTTTTTTTTAACTTGTATTCCTTAGAAGTTAACAGCATGGCTTTGGGACCAAACTGCCTGGGCTCAGCTCTCGGCCTCACTTGCTATGGGCTGTGTGGCCCTGGGCGAGTCGCTTAACCTCTGCTTGCCTCCGTCGCCTCTGCAAAATGGGAATAACGGGCACCACCTGCGGAGGGTGGCTGTAAAGCTGCCGGGAGGGTTCAGCTGAGCCGAGCGGCTGCACCAAACTTTCCACGAACAGAGACATTCTTGTTCTTTGTTGTGTGGCGCGCCCCCTTCCCCTCCTGCCCCCTGCCCAGAGCCCAGTGCATGGGATGGAGCGAGGCAGGGCCGGCGGGCAGCAGGCATCACTGTGTCCTTCCCGTCCCACCCAGAGCAGCTCGATGCAGCCCCACAGCTGGGCTCCAAAGAACCCCTTTGACAGCCAGCTCCCCAGGCTCCTGGGCTGGCTGCCAACTCAGTCCTGTGGCCCCTCTGCCAGCTCGAGGCCATGTGCTGGAGGCTGCTGCCGGCCTTGCTGGGGTCCGGCCGCGGCCTGCTCCAGCCACCCCTGGTCCTTGCTTCGGCTTTTGTGGCCCCAGAACCAGCAGCTTTGGACCCTTTAGTTGCAGGTCCCCTGGGGCCTGAACGGGAGAAGCATCTTTCCCTTCACCCTTACCTTCCCTCGAAGCTGGGTGCACACCTCCACCCCACACCACGGAGGGCCCAGCCCCAGGCTGCAGGAGTGGGAGGGGCTGCAGGACAGAGAAGGGACCTCACACTGGGCTTGGTGAAATCCAGGAGGACTCCCTGTGGGAGGGGGTATTTGAAGGAGGCATGTTTCCGTGATGGTATCACCGTGTTTGAGTAATAGACGTGTTTGAGTAAACTCCGGGAGTTGGTGATGGACAGGGAGGCCTGGCGTGCTGCAGTCCACGGGGTCACAAAGAGTCAGACACAACTGAGCAACTGAACTGAACTGAATTGGTGTTTCTGTAGGTGGAGGAGGTGGGAAGGAGCCACTGTTACGTGCTGGGCCCTGTCAGACTCTACTTGGGCTGTTGTTGGTTCACAGCCCTTGACACAGACAGAGGGCTAAAGGGCATCTCATCTGCATTCCAAGATGCAGGCCGGGAGCTGGCATTCCATGCAGCAATCCCAGGTTCCCTTGGGCCCTGTCTGGGGCTGGGAGCAGGCGAGATGTGGGCTCCTGTGCTGAGAAAGGTTCGCTGAGTTTCTGCATGAACCAGTTGCTTGCATCTGCTTCTGCGGCGTCATGGAGTTAATACTGACTTCCCGCTGCCACCCTAGCCCCCTGGGACCTGCATGCCTGGGAAGGCGAGCCCCTGCCGCCAGGCCCCTGGCTTCTCAGCTACAGTCGTGGTTGGGCAGTGGAGTGGTGAGGGAAGGGCTGTTCAAACTGAGGCACATCACCACTTCTTCGCTGTGTGACTCTGGGCAAGTACCTTAGCCTCTCTGATCCCTCTGTCTAGGAAAATGATCCTAACTCCCTTGTAGGGAGGCTGTGAGGTCTGTGTGGGCCCGTCCGGATGGAGGCTACGCCCAGAGTGAGGCCTTGAAGGTTGGTTGTGTTTATTACTGCTGCGGTGGAGACCAGGAGAGAGGGAGCTGTGTTCCTGCTGGTACCTCAGCAGCCCCCAGGGGAGGGCCAGGCTTGCAATCACCTCATTTAATGCAAGGGCGGGTAGAGGCCCAGGTGAGGATGCGGCTTGCCCAGGGCCCCCGGTGGGTGGTCCTCTTGGTTCTCGGCCTGCTCCGTGTTGGAGATGCGCCAGGCGTGGAACAGCGTGCTGTCCGTGTGTCCTGGGTTCTCTGAACAGCCTCAGGATGCACTTCACACCTGCCTTGTTGGCCCGTGTGGACACTGAGATCGGGGGATCGGAGTGACGTTCTCATGACCACCCATTGACCGGTTCATTCCTGTCTATCAAGTACTTGTCCTGGGGACACGCCATGAGCCAGGCACACGCAGCTCCTGCAGTCACGGGGTTTTCATGCTCGTGGGAGGCACAACCATCAACTCCTTGATTCAACAAAAGTCTCGAGGAGCTCTGGGAGCTGGGGTTGGGGAAGGCTTCCTGCGGGAGACATAGATACAGGCAGCTCTGGGGGCCTGGGAAGGGTGTGACAGGCAGAGGGAACAGCCCTGGCGAGGGCCAGACAGAGGGCCATGGGCACACTGGGCCGGAGTGTGGCTTCCAGGGTCTCAGGGAGAGAGCAGACGCCAGAGGCTGGACTGCCAGGCAGGCTGCCGGCAGCCACGGTGGGTGGTGGCCTCACCCTGGGCTCCCAGTGCTCTTTCTGCCTGCAGCTGGTGTCCTGAGTCCGTGGGGACCTGGCACGTTACATCCAAGGCCTCGAAGGGACACTTGTGTGTGCAGAGCTGGTGCTCGGTCCTGCTTGTGCCTTGGACCCAGACACGCAGGGATGTCCCCACTGCCCCGACTCCCGCTCCGCGTCTGACCTCGGCATGTCGCGTCTCTCTGAGCCTGTGTCTTCAGACAGGCTGTGCTGTCTGTGCCGTCCCTGGGTGAAGCCACACGGCAGAAGGGTACTGAGAAGTCCCCAGGGGGTATTCCTGGCCAAAAGACCTCGTGGCCCGGCTGCTGACTCTGCCTGATTTGAGGGGAGGTGTTCTGTGTGCCGCCCCCTCCACTATCTGTTGAGGGAGAGCCAGGGTGAGCTCACCCCAAGTGCCAGCCACCTGGGCATATGGCTGCTTGGAGGGGACAGACAGCAAAGCTGATGGTGATTATTATTAAATTCAGATGTTCCGGGTTTTCCTCTTGTTTTTCCTGTGCCCTTAACATATTGACTAGCATGTGGAAGACAGGTGACTTCAGCAGCATCATAATGCCAGCAGGCAGGGATCAGGGATCAGATAAACTGATAGCCCTGGGTAGCCTAATATCAATGGCATCTGGGGTGTGTGGGCAAAGCTGCCCCGGGCCGAGGGGCAGACCTAGTCTGTGTCGTCC